GGGGTACTCTTATGTTTTCTTTGCATGCCTTAGCGGTTGGACCATTGACCACGCGTCCGCGGGGCACAACAGAAAAAAAAAGTTACAAAGAGGCATTTATACTATCTGCGGAACCCCCACCTGTTGGTTGTGGCTCCCTCCACCGGCACAGGCTTCGTCTCTTCCGCCTCCCCCTCGACCTCCGCCTTCTTCCTGTCGAAAACCTTTGGGTCGTAAGGGTCGTCCTCTCCCACGATCCCTCTCGCCACGATATTCCCGAACTCGTCCTCGCGGATCCACTCCTTCACCTCCTGCGTGTTACGGGTCGTAGAATACCGTACCGTGACACAACACAGCAGTGTGGGGGTCTGTTTAGTGCCGGTTGAGTAGCGCCGGTGCCCGGTAGAGTGCCGGCTCATTCGGCTGGCATAGGCTGAATCAACAAGTAATTATCTACTTTCCAACCGCGCTGGTGTTCGGTATACTACGGAGTTAATTATCTGGACTTATACCGGCACAAACAGGCCCCCACACGGTACGGGATGGATGCTCGCGGGTTTTATAACGGGCACGTCCGGGGGAAAGCGTGAGACGACCGCGGAGAGGGAGAAATACTCAGGGTGAGAGTGAACGGCGGGTGGTATTCAGGTGGTACACGGGAGTGGGGCTGCTGTGCGCAGGCCCGACGGTCGGGGCTGAGAGAGCGCGGGTAGCAGCGGAGGAGAAGATTTAGATTCTCGAAACCGGAGGAAGGATCGGTTTGTCAGAGTGCAGGCTAGCAAGAAGAAAATGGCAACAACAGCAACAACAACAACGACGACGACAACAACGACAAAGGCAGCTGCAGCATCAAACACAGCAGCAGGGACAATTAGAGTGGAAAAATTCGACGGCTTGCCTTTGCGCGCTTCTTCTTCCTGTCGGGCTTCTTCTTCAGCCTCTTGGAGTGCGTGTGCACGGGCTGCAGGTTGGGCGAGTCTCGCGACAGCGTCTCGTCATACCTTTGAGACACATCAACAACGACGACAGCAAACAAAAACCAAGGAAAAACACCCAACGTCAGGAACGGCAACACTGACCGCAAGACGTCGTACCTGTAGACACACTGGAAACAGCAAATGCAGGGACAACAACGAGATCATCATCATCGACACCAACGTAACATCGCAACAGCATCCACAATGACGACGGCGACCACAGAAAACGTCACTGAACCCGCAGAAACACGGCGCGAGGAGGCTTGAAAAATAAACCCAAGCCTCACAGCTGGATGTTGCCTGCGGGGCTCCATGGGGCAAGGGCTCAAACAAAGACAACGGGGGGGCACCGCACTGGAACGGGCGATACCCGCACAAAAAAAGCCTCCATCGATCACCAAGCACCCGTCAAAGGTACATTGACCACAACGTATAACGTCGTTGATCGGGTACCCCCTGATACTGGTGTTGGTATAGGAATATCGCTAGGAACGGTAGTAGACAGATTGGCATCTGTCCGCATTTGCGGCGACGGGGCCCCGAGTTCGGGGGGGGGGGGGGGGGGGGAAAACCCCTGGGGAAAAAAAAACCTGGCCCCCCCAAAAAACCCCAAAAAAAACTAATCCAAACCCAGCCCGAAATTTCCTGTT